GCAAACACCCCCTTTAGGCACCCTGCCCGGCTCCACCGTGGCTGGGGGAGCACCACCAGGTGTCCCCGGCAGGGCCGGGCCGTCCCAGCAGCCCCCGGTGGATCCAGGGGAGGCCCCGGGCCTGGCCTAGGAGACCCCAGGGAGGTCCCGGGCCTGGCTTAGGGAGACCCCAGGGAGACCCCCCCAGGGACATCCTGCCTGGCCTAGAGAGACCCCAAGGAGACCTCAGGGAGACAGACCCCGGGGAGGTCCTGGGCCTGGCCTAAGGACACACCAGGGAGACCCCCCAGGGAGGTCCTGGGCCTGGCCTAAGGAGACCCCAGGGAGACACCCCAAGGGACATCCCGGGCCTGGCCTAGGGAGACCCCAGGGAGACACCCCCCACAGCGAGACACCCCCCAAAGGCAGACCCCAGGGAGGTCCCAGGCCTGGCCTAAGGAGACCCCAGGGAGGCCCTGGGCTGGCCCCAGGGAGGATGGGTCTCTTCAGGGCAGCCTGGCTGCTCCGGTAAAGCCCACATTGAGACCCTCGGGATATGCCCACGCTGGGTCAGCCCAGAGCAGCCGTCTGTCAGGGCCCTGCCCGGTGCTGGCCCTCAGCAAACAGCCCCTCGCACGTGGCGATGCTGCCCGGCACCGACATCCCCACTGCGGCTATCTGCACCGCCAGGAGCTGCCAAGCTGCAGGCAGGAGGGGTGCGAAGGTTGAGAGTCCTTCGCGGGCAGACTTCAGGTGGTGAACTGCTCCCTGAAGCTGTGCCAGCGCTGGCATCGTGCTGCAAGGCATCCCTCAGGGTCACAGCCACAGCGTGACACCCACCCTGGGGGGCCACCTCCCACCCCCCTCCCAAGGTGTCTGCCTGTCGGGCAGACTCTGTGCCGAGGCCTGAGCTCTAACGCTCCCTCTCTTCATCCAGGTCGGCGCAATGGATGCCCTGCACACTGCCGGGATCCGCTTCGCAGAAGTGCTGCAGTCCGGGCCACCCTGGCTGGAAAAGTTCTGGATCTCAGTGACCTCCCTGGCCGATCCCAAAAGTATCTTCACCGTCTGTTTCCCGCTCGCCTATTTTCTCGACCGCAAGGTGGGGGTGTCGGTGCTGTGGATCGGCCTGGTGTCGGAGTGGCTCAACGTGATCCTCAAATGGTGAGGGGAGAGCTGGGAGTCACAGGATCCCTGTCACACCCGGTGACACCCCGAGGGCTGAGTGGTGGCACGTTCACAATAGCAGAAACACAACCGCAGGCTCTGCTCGGCAGGCAGAGGCACGTGTTGCTCCTTGCCTGTGCCACGCTGAAAGCGCGCGGAGTTTCTGCAGGTCACCCAAGCCACGGTAACGCATCTGCCAGGCATTCATGGCAGAAAAAAGCCCGGGAGCCATAAGAACTGGCAGGGATCCTGCCCTCCTGCTGCCGGCTTCAGCTCTCAGATCCACAGGGATGGGCAGTGAAGGCGTTGGGCTGCGTTCGGCTGTTCACTGTTCTGTGGTTTCTCTCCCCACCAGGTTCTTATTCGGGGAGCGCCCATTCTGGTGGGTCCATGAGTCAGGGCTCGCCAGCAAGGAGCTGGTCATGCTGCGCCAGTTCCCTGTCTCCTGCGAAACGGGACCGGGTGAGTTATGGGCGAAAGCTTTTCCTCACATCTCCGGCAGGCCCTGGGATCTGTAGGGAAGGGCTGCAGGAGCCGGGAGGCCCTGTCCGGACAGGAATGCTGCAGCTGGAGGCTGCTGCTGGGCTGGCAGGACACGCCAAGTGGGAAAGCCGTTCGTCAGCCAGCACCTCGCGGCAGAGCAAACGAGCGAGCGGCGGGGAGCGGGCCGGGCGCCACGGCTGCTGGCACGGCACACACGGCACAGGCAGCTCCAGGGCCAGGAAACCCACAGGAGAGTCTGCCGGCGGCAGGGAGCAGGATGCCTCGCTCGCCCTTTCTGCCTGGCCTCCCCTGCCCACAGAACCCACATCCCTGCCTGTTTTTTTGAGCAGGCGACCATCATCCATGGGCACCGGCTCATTCCATCCTCATCCTCGAGCCGAGCCCCCCACGCTGGCCATGGCCGTCAGCCAGGAGGGAACCCAGGGCGCAGGCAGGGCTGCCCAGCCGCGAGGGCTAGGCTCAGCAGACACATCCCCAGCTCTCCTGGGTGACTTCGGGCGCTCATGCTGCTGGGACACGCTTTCCCCCGACCCACCGTGTTGAGCATCCTCTTCTTCCTCTTCGCAGGGAGCCCCTCCGGCCACTGCATGATCACGGGGGCAGCCCTCTGGCCGCTCGTCACCGCTCTGACAGCGCTGGCATCCAGACACTCCAGGAGGTGAGTCCTGGGACGGGGAAGCTAGTGCTTAGAAATCTCCAGAGCATCTTTTGGAAGAGGGAGGTGTGATGTGGGAAACCTTCTTCCGTGGGCAGCAGCCACGGCAGCGGGCGGGAAGGATGCCTTCCCCTCCCAGCGGGGCAGCTCCTGGGGAGCACAGCTCTACCCTGGCAGCTCTGGCTGCTGCAGGAACAAGCTGCGAAGCCCTGGAGACCACTGCAAAGCTCCCCACCCACCCCACCGAGTTGCTTTTTTTTTTGCCGCCTTCACCTGTGCTTTACTCATTCCTCCTGCCAAGCAGGGCCAAGCCTGCCCTGCCTGGCACAACACGCTCGGGAGCACCGAGCCAGACTCGATGGCCGCCTCCCCGCCGCTGACCCTCCTTGCCTTCCAGCCTTGTGGTGAACCTGACCCCCTTCGGTGCCTACACCCTGCTCCAGCTGGCTGTGGGGCTCTCGCGGGTCTTTGTCCTGGCCCACTTCCCCCATCAGGTGGTCGGTGGCATCCTGGCAGGTGAGTGGAAGAACATTCGGTCCCTCCACCCAGAGCCCAACACCCATCTCTGGGTCAGGGTGTTTTGGGCACCTTCGCCTTCCCTCGAGTCCCCCCCGTCATCCATCTCGGTGCCCCAATCTGCCTGTTCTTGCTGTCCAGGGACAGCCCTGGGCTGGGGGCTCCAGGCTCGCACCCCAGCCACCTGCACCTCGGGCTTCTTCATGGCCACCGCGCTGGCCCTGCTGCTCAGCTCCCTTGCCCTGCACAGCCTGGTGATTGCCGCCGGCATCAATATCGACTGGTGAGTGCCCGGTGGTGGTGGGGGGAGCTAGCCCTAGGGATTTGCCCCCCCCAGGTTGGTGTGGGGGCTAGCCCCAGGGGTCTGCCCCCCAAGCTGGCAGAGGGCTAGCTCCAAAGTTCCTTCCCTGAACCCTGCAGGTCCATCCACCTGGCCACCAAATGGTGCTCCAATCCTGCCTGGCTCCGCCTCGACACCCGGCCCTTCGCTTCCGTCTGCCGGGACACTGGCAGTGCCCTGGGGCTGGGGCTGGCCGCTGGCTTCCCCCTGCACCGGGGGGAGCCGCTGGACCCCTGGCAACGCGTGGCCAGCGCCGTGCTGGCCTTGGTGGCCATACAGGGCCTGCACCGGCTTCTCCAGCCCACGGACGCGACCCTGTGGTACGGCACCAGCTTTCTCAAGTACGCCGCCGGGCCCTGGCTGGTGGCATCTCTCCTGCCCTGGCTCGTCCTCTCCCTCACCCGCCCACGGGGCTCCCCCCATGCCGAGTAGGGGTCCCCACCGTGTCATGGTTAGTCCTGCACCCCCCCCTCCTGGCTTTGCCCTTGGCTGTGCCCATCGCTGGTGGCTCCTGGCCTGAGTTCAGCCACCGGCTCCATACCAGGAGGGCATCCACAGTCCCCCCTTGGGACCACAGGCCAGTTGTTTAACCCTCGCTGCCCTAACAGCGCTGCTCCCCCCCAGGACAGTGGGGACCCCCCCCAGCGTGGGGCAGGCAGGGGGCACAGTGACAGGCGGGTGGCAGAGCTGGGGGTGCCCCGTGCCCAGCAGGTCTGGGGACACGGCGTAGGGACGGTCCCAACCTTGGGGTCGCTGACAAATGGCACCACCTTGGCCCCCTTCCAGCTGCCCCAGTTCTCCCACTTCAGTTTCCCCCCCTGGGGTAGGGAGGGGAAGGAGCCAGGACCCCCCCCATGCCAGGATTCCCACTGTACCTCAGTGGCTGGAGGGGCCATCCCATTTCTAACCAAATAAAAACACCGTTACCAACCTGCCGGCCCCCGAGTCCTTCAAAAAGGGGGGGGCACGGGCAGGGCTGGGGACCCCTGGGGCAGGGCACAGCCTGGGCTGGGGGGGATAATGGGGTGGATGGAGCCCCCGCAGCCAGGCTGATCCAGCTCCGCACCCTGATGTCGGGCCGGATGGATGGGAAAGGGGCAGCCCTGTTGCTGTAGGTAGGGAAACTGAGGCACACGGGGCAACCATGAAGCCCTGGGGATGTCTGTCCTGATCCAACAGGGACGGGAAAGGGGACACAAAGGTGCCGGTGCTCCTGGCACCCTCCCCCCAGTACCTCCCTCGGGCCCCCCCAAATGCAGCAGGACACCACCAGGTATTGCCAGAAACAGTTTTATTTATACAAGGACGAACATCGGTAACATCTTACAAAATACTCAACTGAAAACCATATCGAGAGCGCGTGAGCGGGCATCGGACGGACAGAAAAGAAACCGAGGCAGGGCTGGGGCAGGGGGCGGACAACGGGGAGGGGGGAAACATGATGACACCAGCCCAAAGCAAGATGGCCTCGCTGCTGGGGGGCCGGCACCCCTCACCCCCCCCCCCAGGGGGGGGTTAGTTTCTATGTGAGGTGTTTCTCCCTCCTGGGATGGGGAGGGATGAGGAGGGTCCCGGGCTGCCACCACCACCCAACAGAGCCCCCACCTTGGGGCCAAGGTGTTGTCCCCAGTATTGGGGACAGCCAGACTGGGGTCACTGCAGCACTTGGTGACGCCCCCGCCCCCCCCACCGGGGCCAGGGGAAGTGACAGGGGACACACGCTCATCCCCATCTCTGCCACCACCCCCCCAATTTGGGGACCTCCCCAGAGCCACTCCAAACCCCCCCCCGGAATAACTTAAAACACAAAGCGCTGTCCCCATCCTCCCCCTCCGCGCCGGGACCCGTGGCCGGTGCCACCCATTAAAAAAATACTATTAAATAATACATCTGTAATAAAATTATATACCTTTGTTTTGTGTGGGTGGTTTGTTTTTTTTTTCCTCTCTTTTAAAGCTAAAATCGCTCCAAGTCCCCTCCGGCTGGTGAAGTAACAGGAAAGTAAAGTGGTTTTTTCCTCTTTTTTTTTTTTGTGTGTGTCTTTTTTCCTTTTTTTCTCCTCTCTTTTAAGAACGGACAAAGTTTTATCCCAACAAAGGCGCTGGGATCTGTCACCCATCAACCCAGGGTGACAAAGGGATGGGGCTCGTCCCCTGCGTCTCATGTCCCCCTCTGAAACAAGGACGCCAAGGGGAAAAAAAAAAAAAAAAAGAAGAAAACTGAGAAAACCCCCCAAAATCACAGGGAAATTAAGGCATTAAAAAAAAAACTGAATTAAAGGCACGAATATTTCCCATCGCCTCCCCCCGGGGGGGGACGGACACCAGAGCCGGGGAGGGACCGAGTGGGAAAAAAAAAGGGGAGAAAACAAGAAAACCCCCCAAAAAAAAAAAAAAAAGAGGGGAGCTGCGGTGGGGGGCCAGGGGGGCCCAGGGCAGCGACAGGAAAACCTAACAGACGGACAGAGGGACGGACGGACAGAGGGGGCAGGAGGAGCTGGGGTGCTGGTGGAACTGATGCTTCACAAGAGACACGACCGCAAACACCGCGTGGAGCTGGGGTCCAACAGGACGGGGGAGTTGGTATTTTTTTGTGTTTTTCTCCTCTTTTAATAGAAAAAGAAAATATTTTCCTCTTTTTTCTGTTTTTCCTCCCGGTTTCTTCCATTTCAGGGGGTTTTTTTTTGTCCTTTTCTTTTTTTTAAGGTGTGTTGTTTTTTTTTAATGTGATTTCTTTGTGTGTGTTTTTTTCTTCTCGGTGTTTCTTTCTTTTTTGGAAACGGAAAAAAATCTCAGCCGTGCGGCGAGGGGCCGGTGGGTCACAGCATGGGCTCAGCCTCCATCGGCTCCTCCGCCGGCCTGGCCAGGGGCAAAGCGGAGCCTGAGCGGGGCCGGATCCTGCGGCAGGGACCGGGCGCCCAGCCCCGGCTGGGGAAACTGAGGCAGCGATGCCGGGAGCTCGGCACCGGGCACGGCTGCCTCCAGCGCCCCCCCCCCCCACCGCCAATCCCCCCGGTTCCCTGTTGTCAGTGGGCTGGGACACACCAATTTGGGGGGACACGCATGGCTCCATGCACACCCCTGGGGACACATGTCCCCCCCTAAGGACACACGCGGTTCCATGCACACCCCTGGGGACACGCAGCCCATCCGAGGACACGCGTGGCTCCATGCACACCCCCGGGGACACGTGTGTGTCCCCAAGGACACGCGTGGCTCCATGCACACCCCCAGGGACACATGTCCCCCCCTAAGGACACGCATGGCTCCATGCACACCCCCGGGGACACGTGTGTGTCCCCAAGGACACGCGTGGCTCCGTGCACACCCCCAGGGGAACAAGCATCCCCCCCACCCCGGGGACACGCGTGGCTGCGTACACAGCCGGGAGCATCCCGGGGAGCCGTACCTGGGCTGGGGGGCGGCGTTCCCCTGCTCGGCGCCCACCGAGAGCAGGGCCATGGCCGTCACCGTTTCGGCCTCCTCCGCCTCCCCCTTCTGCGCCTCCAGCAAGGAGCAGCCCACGGTCGCCGCGAAGCGCTTCACCGAGCCCCAGTGCTTGCCTGCGGGCACCGGCAGGGCTGGGCACTGGCTCGGGCAGGGACAGCCCCGGGGGACCCCCGGGACCCCCACAGCAGGGACAACCCCTGGGGACCTACGGGACTAGAGTGGCAGGGACAGTCCAAGGGACCCCCTGTGTCACCAACGGCTGAGAGAGCCCTGGGGACCTCCCAGGACCCCCACGGACGGGACAGCCCTGGGGACCCCCATGGCAGGGACAACCCGGGGAACCCCCAGGACCCCCAACCCAGAGGGACCCATGGGACTACAGTGGCAGGGACAGCCCTAGGGACCCCTCTGGGTCCCCCCCAAGGCAGGGACAGCCCCAGGGACCCCCCCCCAGGATCCCAGTGACAGCACTGAAGACCCCTCCAGGTCCCCCCAAGGCAAGGACAGTCCCCAGG